CATTTCTTCGTAAAGTTGTGCAGCTAATGTTTTGTTATGGGCAATGATAAGAGCTGGACGACCAGTCCTTTCAATAACACTTGCCATAGTAAATGTCTTTCCAGAGCCAGTGACACCTAGTAAAACTTGATCATTTTCACCGTTATTCAGACCTTCTACTAGTTTATCAATGGCTTGTGGTTGATCTCCTGCTGGTTTAAAATTGGAAATAAGGCGAAAGGACATACGCTACCTTAAGATGTATTTCACTGCATAGTTATTTTTACTAAAGGTGTCAATGTTTTTCTGTGAAAAAAGGTTTCTCCTGTAATGTTTTTACAATATAATTAAGTTTATTTCTTGCAAAATATGTATCAGTACGATGTGATTATAGTAGGTGGTGGACACGCAGGGTGTGAGGCGGCTGCAGCTTCTGCACGCCTTGGTGCTAAAACTTTACTCATAACTCACAAGATTACAACTATCGGAGAAATGTCATGCAATCCAGCTATTGGAGGAATTGCAAAAGGTGTGGTTGTACGGGAAGTTGATGCTCTTGATGGCGTAATGGGTAGGGCAATCGACCAGGCGAGTATACATTCTATTATGCTGAACAAAAGTAAAGGTGCAGCGGTGTGGGGGCCTCGAGCTCAGGCGGATCGTAAGCTGTATAAAAAAGCAATGCAAGGGATTATCTTGAATTATAGCAACTTAACAGTCAAAGAGGAGTCTGTTGATGATTTTCTCATAGAAACTGATAGTAATGGCAAATCATATATAAAGGCGGTAGTGACAAGCTCGGGAGAGCAGATATTTGCTTGTAGAGTGATTCTTACTACGGGAACTTTCTTGCAAGGAATAATCCATATAGGAGAAAAAACAACACCAGCAGGAAGGATGGGAGATAAGCCTGCAATAAAACTTGCTGAAACATTGAAGAAGTATAACTTTAGGCTAGGTAGATTGCGTACTGGTACCCCACCCAGATTAAACGGTAACACTATAAACTGGTCAGTATTGAATGAACAAGTAGGTGACCATCCACCGGTGCCATTTTCATACTTAACGAAGAAGATTGATCTTCCACAAGTTTCGTGCTTTATGACTCACACCAATGAAAGCACTCACAGGATAATTAGAGAGAACTTACATAGATCTGCTTCTTCATATCTAGATGATGTAATAGCACCGCGATATTGCCCTTCAATTGAAGTTAAAGTTAAGAAGTTTGCAGAGAAAAATAGCCATCAGATATTTTTAGAACCGGAAGGACTTGATGATCACACCATATATCCAAATGGGATCTCAAATTCACTCCCTGTTGAGGTACAGTATGAGATGATGAGAAGCATAAAGGGTCTTGAAAATGTAGAAATACTAAAGCCTGGGTACGCAGTTGAATATAACTACATTGACCCAAGGGAGTTGTACCATACGCTTGAAACTAAAAAGGTAAAGGGTCTTTATTTTGCAGGACAAATTAATGGTACTACGGGATATGAGGAAGCAGCAGGACAGGGAATTATCGCAGGAATTAATGCAGCACTTTCTGCTTCGAGCAAAAAAGATGAATTTGTCCTTTACCGCACCGATTCGTATATTGGTGTCATGATAGATGATCTCGTTACTAAAGGAGTATCAGAACCATATAGGTTGTTTACATCTCGTGCAGAATATAGACTTTCAATCAGAGCAGATAATGCTGATAGAAGATTAACACAAAAAGGTTATGATATTTCTCTTGTCTCGCATGAGAGGTATTCTATTTTAAAAGACAAGCTTAAATCTATTGAACAACTTGAAGAAAAATTGGCGAGTTTAATTATTACTCCTGAGCAGCTTGCATACTATGGAATTAAGATATCTTATGACGGAATAAAAAGAACTGCATTGGACCTGCTTAGTTACCCTAATATAAGCTTAGATAAGCTGGAAAAAATATGGCCGGAACTAAATGTGGTCAAAGGTGAATCACGTGAAATAGTTGAGACTGAAGCAAAGTATAGGCCGTATCTCGTAAGACAAGAAGCAGATATAAAGTTTCTGCAAGAAGAAGCTAATACTCGTATACCTATAGACTTCGACTACTCGCAAATTAAGGGATTATCAAGTGAAGTGATAGAAAAACTACAGACAACTAAACCATCTACTATCGGGATTGCAAAACAGATTCAAGGTATTACCCCAGCGGCAATAGTGAGTATATTAATATATTTAAAAAATAAAAGAACTAACAGATCTTACGAGGCTATTTTAAACTAATTACTTAAGAATAATGGAGTGCTTTCTTGCTGCCAATTTAGAGAATATATCCAAGTTTCATGCTGCAATATTAACCAAACTGTGCAGTGGAATAAGGATAATAGATCTGTTGTTTTATAAGCCAGTTAGTTATATAGACAGAAGAAAATCCTTATTAGACGCTAGGGTAGGGGAGTTTACAACTTTTATTGCAAAAGTCTGCGAACATAAGCCTCCTACTGCAAAAGGTAGACCATATAAAATCGTTGTTGAAAGTGAAGGTAGGAATGTATCTATTATTTTTTTCAACTATTCAATTAAGTACTTATATAAGACATTTTTTATCGGTACCCGATTAGTAATTAGTGGTAAGCTTGAAGAATTTTTTGAGCAACTACAGATTACTCATCCTGACTATTTATTGCTTGATCTAAAGCAATTTGGAGAAATTGCATGCATAGAACCAATATATCGATTAAGCCGCGGCATTACTAATAAAGGTATTAGAAATATAATAAATTCTTGTCTTAAAGAATTACCTGAACTTCCAGAGTGGACATTGATCAAACAAAAGGATTGGTACACTTGGAAAAAAAGTATTATTGGACTACATAAACCAAACTCATTGGATGAAGCAGAAAAGTGCAGAAAAAGGCTTGCTTATGATGAATTGCTTGCGCATCAGCTTGCATTAAAATTAGCGA